CGGAAGTAGGGAAGAATTAACCTCCTCCTTGCCTACTATGCCTTAACGGAGCCATGTCTCTTCATTGTCTCTGCTAGAAAATGGTCCCTGCTTGGGCTAGACAGCACAGGGGTGGGGTCAGTCCTGCGGCTGGAGCAGACAGCCCCGCCCAGCCCAGAGAGCATGCCGGGATGCTGGGGGGTCTGGTTTAACTTAAACCAGGAAGGGGTCTGGGACAGACATTGCATAAACCAGTTTGAGCCAAATCAGTTAAATCTGATACTACATTCAATCAAGTTTATCTCAAGCTGTCTTTGGCCATTTTGAAACTGATTTATGTGCACTGAATGTCTGTTCTGTTACAGGTTTAAATTTATGATTATTAACTATATTAATATGCAGTGCATCCTGCCATATACCCCCGCCCCAGTTTTGTTTTTTTGGCATGCCGGCACTCCAGTGGCTTACAAGGTAGACATGGTTTTTTTGGTACTGAGGCCAAAAAAAAACTTTGCCTACCCCTGACATATACCATGTGACAGAGTGTAACTTTCAGTTCCAAGGCCATACTACCTCCTCCCAAAGGATTACTTCCAGGGGCAAAGGGAGGGACTTCCAGGGGCAAAGGGTAGGGGTTAAGGAGTGGGACTTCCGGCTACAAGATGGCAACCAGGGGGCGGGGCAACTGTGAAGGGGCAGGTCTACCCATGCAGCCCTCAACAGCTTACCAAAATTCGTGAACTAGCCCTCCAGCCGAAATAATTGCCAACCACTGCTCTAGGGTTTCAAGGAGAGAGATACATCCCTCACTTCTCCCTTTGTTGCCAAACTTTCCTGTGAATCCTGTAGCCAATTGTCACCAATGCACTGTAAGTTTTGACAGGCCTCCCTTTCAGGTACGACTGATTTAACTTTCTACCTGGAAGTTTTTCAGGGCATATTTATGTGAGAACACATGAAAATTAAGCTGAACTAGTTGAAAGGGTGAGTTTTAACTGCATTTTGTTGAAGCACACTGAACTTCCATGTGGTAGCAGATATTAAATTCACATCTTTAGTTAATTTGGTATCATTTTCCAGAAAGTCACCATACAAGCATCCTCCTATGCACAGGCATGCATCAGAGTCCATGTTGTCACATAAGGGGTAGGACAATTAATTTCCCCCTTATCTTATGAAATGGTATCAACCATGTTCCCTATTTTGGACCTATTTCTACAACTCTATCTAATCCAAATTCTAGGCAAGTCATTCTCAAACCATAAAAAGGTTTATTTTCTTTTTTAAAAACTCTGCTGAAAAAATGATTAAATGTATTTTTACCACCACCCACTACCTTTGTTTTAATCCCCTTTCATGTCTTAATAAAGCAACACTTTTTACTTTAGTGCCTTTTGTTTAAAATATATTCACTGTTCCTCGAGATGCAAGTTTCTTCACAACAATATTAAATATTCATAAAATAGCCGAGCTGCTTGAAGCAATTTTCTGAAAAGAGAATAAATGTCCTAAAAAAAAAAGTTTAATTGTACTGAATGTCAATTAAACACACTTCTATTCTACTAAATGGACCAGGTGAAAGTAAATATTTGTTTTGCTCTTGCAAGAATCTGAGTACCTATCTGCTTCTGGACTCTTAGCAGATCCAGTGTAACAAATTTGATTTGTCTACCTTCTTATATGGATCTTCGTATTCAGTAATGCAAACAAGATAAATCAAAATGATAAAAAGGGAACAAATACCAATGCAGAAGTCAGACTGATTTTTCCGAAGTGGTAAAATAAAATAAAATGAAAATTCTGGCATGCTGTGGTCACACAATAAATTTCCACTATGGGTGGGAATTATTCTACCAACATTATTTGCATGACTCTAACTGCTTTAAAAAATACAGGATAGATAAAACACCAGCCCAGAAATCTGCAAGAATCATGATGTCCTGAAAACATATACTTATCCCAAAATAATTTAGTAGATCCCTATTTTGGATACTGTAACAAACAAAATTTGCTCCAAACTCTTCCCAACAGGGGAAGAGGAAGGGATATGAGGAATAAACTGGTATTTTTGGATTCTTCTAAAAAAAAAAACAAAAGTAGAAAAAATAGAATATAGTTGAATGTACTTTAAACACAAAGGGAAAAATTAACTGTAAGCACAACAGACTTCTTCAACAATCTAGATTAACATTCAATAATCAAATAATATTTTATGGATTTGGCTCATCAGTAGGTTAAAATGTATTTCTATACAAGGTACCTCAATAGCAACTCTCAGAGTCTAATATACAGATATATCTATATATATCTAATATACAGATATTAGAATTTGAGAGTTGATATCAAGGAACCTTGTACAGAAATAAATTTTAACCTATTAATAAGCCAAAGTATATCTATATCTGTAGTTTGCATTTTATATCAGCAGATGGCGCAAAGCATTAGTGTGCTGTATTGAGAGCTGTGCTGTAGTTATCAGAGTCTCTGCTGAGTCAGTGGAGGAATAATGTCAGCTCTAAAACACGCTATTTATACTGTCATCATGTGACCTGGCTCAAACATCCCATCTTGTGGTCACTTTTTCCACTTGTGCAATAAAATTTTCTAGTGATCGATTCTCTTTTATAGTTCACTAAAAAAATCTGAGATTTTGGTTTTGTTTAAAGCTCATTTCAGTGTTCCTGTGTCCCCCCCATATGTCAGTTTTCTTGAATTTTTTTTGCTTGTATCAAGATATGCAGGCACAGAATACTTTAGTGTGTGTGCTTCCAGCTCACCTGGACTGTAGCCAAAGTTTCTTAATATAGACAGCAGCAGAATCATCTGGTAACAATCCTTTCTGCCAGCCCAGCCAGATCTGTTTTCAATATTCTTTTCCAAATACTAAGTAATATTATGAAGCATCAAGCCTTTCTACTGAGAAATAGGCTTTTGGAACATTTATGCTATTGCTTTATAAACACAAAATAGACCGAAACTTTAATAATAAAACTGAGAAACAATTTCTAAGGCTCTTAACTTGGTCTCCATTTTGTAAGCACGCAATCATAAGCTGATAGAATTACTTGCAATGTGTGTACACTGCTGTAAGTAATGAGGTTAGGTTAGTACATTTGATTATATGGACACACAACAAAAATGCAAAGTGCACACTTAAACATCTGTGTGCACAAGGTTACAGAAACAAATAGAGAATTGTTTCAAAAGAATGGTCTTTTGTGCCCTCTCCTTCAGTAAAACATATCTTGCACACACATGCACACAGAAAGCTTTTTAATAAGATGGAGATGAACCATCTTCACATTAGAAACAAAAAGCACATACTCTTATTTTAGGATATGAATGACAAAAACCATAAGCATTTGTGCTACCAAACAAGTAGAACAGTTTGATTCTATTGGTTCATAATATTCCACAACATTCTAGGGATTCTTGAAAAAATAAAGTGAAATATGTTCTAAAAGTATTTGAAGACCAAATAATTTATACTCAGAAGGAGGGTACCATCTTGACATTTCGAGCCTGATTTCTGTTTGGTAACCCAGATATCAGCCACACAGCTTTAGCACTTAACCTTCCGTAAAGAGTTTTAACTTGCTTACTTCGTATTTCAAATGAACATTATAGCATGTCCTTTCAGAAACACTAAAACATACCTCCATTCAGCCTTGTTATGCAGGAATGAGTTACATTGGTCTGGAAGGTTTCTGTCATTTGACATGGATTCCAGAATTGAAATGATCTGCTTGAAAGATAGCCTTTTCTGAGGACAAAGACAACAAATTAAAGTTTTGTTTTCATACCTGACTATGTAAAAACATTAACATAGTTTCTTCTGGTGAAACTGCAAAAACACGGCTGTGAATAGCACAGAGACTGGATTTCTGCCTACATAATTATCAGGTGTTCAACTCAGAGAAAATATAATTTCTAAAGACATAAATGTAACTGCATATTTTTATATTTTCTTTAAAGATGTGAGCCTGGAAACTGGTAACCACCAACAGAATAGGGCCCCAGCCTTGGGCCCTTTGCATGCTATCACTATGTAATGTTGTATAAAATATTAATAGGGATTAAATGGTAAAGAGAACAATCATGCCTAAAACAATCCTAAATCAGGAGGTTGGAACTATCAAGCATTGGTGCGCCTTTCATGTGTAGGTCCCAGGTATTAACGTTAATTCTTTAATACCTGAAAAAGCAATTATGTGGCCCACAAGAAATAAATTTAAAGATGCAATTCAGTTCCACCACACGTCTATAACTGGCACCCTGGTTAATCATCATGGAAAAGGCCAAGGATTGAATAAACATTGAACCTTTGTGTTGATCCCTCCAGGTCAAAGTTCAGCACATTGGCAATGCAGCAGAAAAATCTCACATCACTAATGTCTCCGCTGTTCTGGTTCTGTGCATATCTAAAGAACTTTACTCTTCTTCAAAGCTGTCAAGCTAGCACCCTTTGTGAAAACTAAATTCACTCATCATACAAAGCAGTCATAACTTCTCCACATTTTCTACTTTTTGTAAGAAGAAAGGAAGCTATAAAGTAAGTAGGATAATTATTGAAAACCAAAAAAGCCACAGTTAAATGTATTTCTTGAAGAGCAGCGACTCCGTTAGTCTGTTTGACAAACCCCAGACAAGGTTGAGACAAAAGGTTGAAACAAAATGTAGATACATAATAAAGGGATGATGCACATTCTCTCTGTATCTCTCCTGTAATTATACCATTTCTGCTAAAATTACAGATGCAGCAATTAAAACGTGCATTTTAATTTGGGAGCACAAAAACAATTAAGAACAATGCTGAGGTGTCTCTCCCAGGAAGTTCCAAGTGATTTCCACATTATAAAAGAAAGACAATTTCTTTATTTCAAATGTCAAACAACATAAAAAAGTGTCAAATGTATAATGTAAAAAAGACAAGCTTTTATACAGTAGTGCTACACTATTCAATGCTAACTGGAGGCTTTTTTTGCCTGTCATTTTTTGGTCCATCTATACCATTTCAGGCAAATGGGCAACTGGTGTAGCTTAGCAGATTTTCTCTGCGACATACAGAATTTGCCCCAACTACCGCTGTGCCCCGACAGTTTGGCATTCATCCAATATTTTTTGAACCTAGGCGACAGGCACAGCATGGCAGCAGGTGCCTACTTGGCAGTACATGATTTGCACCTGTTGACAGAATTCTGTAACTGGTTTCTAGCATACAATCCCAGTGGTTTGTTCTCTCCTGCCAGTGTATCCCCAACTGTATTTATAAAGTAGGGGGGCTATACCCTCACACAACTGCGTGTGGATAATACTTTGGCAAAGCTCAGCAAGATGTTTCTTTGTACTCACTGCTAGACAGTCTCTGTAGTTTGAGTCCCAGAATAGTGCTTATGGTAAGTGGTGCTGCTCTAGAAAGTGATAAATTGGGTTTTAATCTTTAGTTTTATGTTGTCACATATTTACTTATTGTGAGCTCAAATTTTATCTTATGCTCCCCCCCTCTAGATTGAAGCCTCTTGCTCTATTTTGTAACTGATCTTTTCTCCCTCTTTTTTGTTGTCTCCTAAACTCCAGAGATGGCACTGATCTGGATTAGGATTTTGAGGAAAAATATTCCTTTTGAGGAATCCCTCTGACTCAAGCAGATTATCCTCTGCACTCAGTCTATCGCTACAGGTAGATTTTTGGTAGTGGTCACCTGAGGGTATGTCCAATGAGAGCATTTGGGAGATGCTACTAAAGGCAGAAGTGCTGTGAGTTGATTGAAAAAATCCCAGTTTATTTGGGCTTATGGGTAGCCTTGTAAAGTAAATGCATTTCTGTAATTTCAATTGTTTTTTCATTACATTTCCCTTCTGTTTGCCTGGAGCCCAGGAAATACATATCAGAAACCTCTCAGAATGAGGCAAACATCAGTCGTCAAGAAGGTATTGGTGGAATGCTATTATTAAATGCCATGCAATTAACTAACAGGTGTGCAATATGCATTTCCTAAACTAATTCTATTTTCCATTTTCAGGAGCAGATAAAAAGCAAACAAACCCTTCATAAGCAATAAAATATTGTAATGAAGGCAGGAAACATTTATAGAATGTTTCTGAGAGTCTTGCTTGGCATTTCTTACTGGAGAAGCACTGAAAAGTTCTGGGCAGGGTTGATACAAACAGCAATTTCTAAGCTGCTCTCAGGCCTGCCTAGAACCATAGAAGAGACAACAGCATTAATAGAAAGCAGAATTATTTCTGGATGTTCAGATAACAGAATGAATGAGTTAAGAGAAACAGCAATACAGTGCTTAGTATAACTCCTGTGGTTCCTGGACATAGTAACACCTAACTGGAACACAGTGAATCAGTTCAGGAAGAGGAATTAAGAAGACTAGAAGAGCTAGCGTTCATATGAAAATGTGTTGGTAGCATTGGAAATGTAGTCTTCAAACTACCAGCACAACAGGCACCTGAATCAGTTGTAGCAACAGCTTTCTCTCTCTAAGCTAGAAGAGATTCTGTCTTGAATCAAAAGGAGGCAAGATTTACCTGATTTTTTAAGCAAATGACAAGTTTAAATGTAATAAATATCCTGTACACGTAGATTGAGGACTTGGCTGAGGTTTGCAAAAGTGACTGCAGATCTTAAGCGCTGAACATGAGTACAAAAGGGCCCTTATTATCACTAGATGGGTGCTGTGGCAGGGCACTTGAGGTGCTTGCCCCTTTAAGAGGTCAGGCAGCCTGGGAAGCTGCTGGCAAGTGTGGGCCAAAACTAATTGGGTATCAGCTGACCCAGGGACCTGGCAGGTGAGGCTAAGCCTGAAAGAGGGAGTCCCCTCCTGGGAGTCATCTAATTCAGGAGGGGGCTGGGCCTAAAACAGGTATAAGCTCAGGCCCTGAAAGAAGCCGGCAGTAATATCTTAGACCTTGCTGAGAGAACGCCACCTAAGCAGGATGGCTTCAGCTCCAGGTCAGCTTAAAGAGCACATCAAGAAGCAGTCTGGAAGTATGGGGAGGAACTAAGGGGACAAGGAGGGTCCTAGGGACCCAAGGAGGGGTCCAGAGCCCAAGAGGAGGGGCTAAGTGCAAGGAAACATCAATGAGGATGCCATCTGTGAGGCATGGGGCATGGTGGAGGGAAGGAATGGAGCCATGCAATGAGTCCGTAAGGCATTTGGGGGATGAAGGCTTTCATTCTGGGATGAAAGTCCCATGGGTACCTGGTGGTCATTTTGAGAGCAATTTGGGAAGCCCTGGGCCAGCCTTCCTCATAAAAAGTAATATCAAGGCATGATGGGCGATGAAGGGGTGATTGCCCACAAAGTGAAGGCTGCAGGGACTCCAGGGGCTTCACAGCCACCCCTGCAGTGGGACCCTGCCACAGATGCCCAAGCCCTTTTTGAAAATCAGGCTCTTTAAAGATGTGCCAGGTTGGAGACCTATAAATTGAGGTATCCAAAAATCACTGTTCACTTTGAAAAATCTTTGCTCTTAGATCTCAATGTTGCATGGAAACCGTGTATAAAATATTCCTACTAGAATTAGTATTTTTTTCACAGCTTCTCTTTGCTCAATAATTATGACTGGGTATATTTTATATAAAACCATAACTCTTCATTCCT